ACACACACACACACACACACACACACACACACACACACACACACACACAGAGTTCAGTCGCACACCCATTCAAACTCATACATGAACGAAAAACTTGTAGTGCCTGCGGCTTTCGAATGAGTTGCATAATGCGAAAATTCTTTTTTTTGCCACTCAAAAGAAAGCGCAAGCAAGAAAAAAAAAAGAAGTGTCATCCAATTTGTCATGTTTATTCATCATCGTTGCAATTAGACGAAATGCAAATGATGAAATAGCTTTTGTTTAGATAATCTAAATCTTTGTGTGTGTCTTCTTGTTGTTTTAAATACATCTTTTTTTCTCTTTCGAAGCGAAAAACAAGAGAAAACAAAAACCGTGAAAAGGATTTGCACAGTGCAAAGTGTTTGTCATTAGTTTTGCATAAAAAAGGGAAAATTTTACACTTACACCCCGAGACTCATTATTATTCATTTTTGTTTCTCATTATTCATCTTTCGCTCTCTGTTCCGTTTGCATTGCAAACGATGTACTATATTCACGATTTTCCGCTCACATTCACACGTAGCAAACAGAACCGAAAGAAAAATTGTAGCAATAAAAGTGAGTTAGCAAGCGAACGAACCATAGATAACGCACACAAATCCAAAGTAGTGTAGTAATCTATTCAAATGTTCAATTTCCCTGGCACTTTCACTCCCTCTCACTCTATCACCATTCCATCGGAACACCGGTATAGAATTAGCAAAGAATAGTTATAGAAAATATCGCACAAGATAGTTGAATACATTTTAATTGGATCCGCACACCGACTGAAACGGAATTGTCAAATTAGAGCCTCTTTTTCTCACACTTTGTTTAGCCTGTTGTTTCTTTTGCCTCGCGCCAATCGAATTTTGTCGCTTACACACTCTCTCTCTCTCTCTCTCTCTATCTATCTATCTATTGGTTGCACTTGTTCAAGACTCTAACTGAATGTGTGCTATAGCTATATTTTCTGTTTTCTGTACATGGCATGAGAATCGTGTTCAGCACATTGTTTCGTCTTTTGTCTAATCTAAAACAAAACAAAACTGAATTTTCCGTTGACTTCGTTGCTTTTTTACTTGATGGCCTCCGCTTTCATAGGACACTAAAACTGGTTGCAGCACGCGCCTCTCTCCCATTCTCTGCTGCTGTGCACTGTAGTAAATATATTTGTCGTTCCGAATTTCATGACTTAATTCGAACATAAAGTTCGCTGCAAGAATCTTGCAAACAGTTTTATATTGTCTCCTATAAGCGGATTTCCACCAAATAATTTCACTCTGTTACAACACACACTTACACTCTTTACTCTCTCTCTCTCTTTCTCTCTTTCACTCACATACACACACTCTATCTCTTCTTACGCTCTATTGCTATCAAAACATTCTTATCGCTTTTCGAATGTTCCGGTTCGTTATACATATTTCTTTTTTCCGTTGTTAATGTCTATCTTTCACTCTCTCTCTCTCTATCTGTTTTTGTTTCGAGAATGCTTTTTGTGGATTCGAAGGATTTGTTATCCATTAGTAGTTTAGTTTGTATTTCGTTCATTTTTTTTTTCTCGAAATGGCAAAAACATTAATGCGATTTTTATTGAAATGTATTGTTCGATTATTTCCCATTAGACCGTCACCCAACGACTTGATTTGAGTTTGGACAAAGATAGTATCTTCTACAAATTGGGCTCATACGGATTAATTTCATTCTCCGATTACATTTTCCTGTTGACCGTTTTATCGAGTAAGTAGACAAACCCAAAATTGCACATAAATTGGACACCATTTTGCTTTTTGCATTATATTTTTTTAATTATATCATCAGTTTTATTGATCAGTCTGTATATAAGAGAGATTTTACAATATAAATTACATCAACTTCCAAGAATAGATGACACACTTTCCACTGAGATGAATAACAATGACATATCCCATTTTGTGTGGACGTATGGCTTTTTTAGCTGATTAACTTTAATTAGATCGATCAGAGACACAACGAACAAAAGAAGATACGATACTGAAAAATACATACATATATAGTCTCTTACATTTAAATCACCACCACCATCACGACGACGACATTACACAAATAAAAATGAAACATAAAATCGAATAGAATTGCTCCACTTTGTCTCCTTCTTTCTATCGCAATAAAAATACATCTATAAATTTTCAAGTAAATATCAAAAATTCCAAAAAGGCGAACTTAATTTCACGAGTATGTGTCTCTCTATCGCGCGCGCGGGATAACGACAACAACGACGACAATGACAATTGCATGGTGTGTATGTGGATCGATTTTGGACCAAAGCCAAAATAATTCATGAAATATTCAAAAGCGTTTTTCAGTTCCTTTATCCATCATGATGATTTCTTTTTTTTTCTCTTTCGAGTTTCGATTGTCTTCTTTCTTCTTTTTTCCCGCTATTTTTGCCCATTCTGTCCGCTCGGCATGTGTGGATGTTGCTTTGTCCTCAAAAATCGAAATTCCATTTCGAGACATTCCAGAGCAATTCTTCCTTTGGTTCGCTTCAATCGAGTCTCCCCGCGTGTACTTCAAAGTAATGTAGAAATATTTGGACTTTTCAATTGAGTAGATATTACATAGTCGAAATCTCTGCGGCAGCAACAACAACAGTACTGGCGCGTTCGAAATAGAAAAGAAATCGTTCAAATTTTGGCTATAAGTAGTCCAATAAATTTTGCGTGTTAACTCTGCCAGAAACGTATTTAAATTTACATGCATCACAATTTTGTTTTTTTTTTTCTTTCTTTTTCCATTGTTCTTCCAATTTTTCTCTTCATTTTTTCTTTCCTTCTTTGCTGTCCCGTTACTCCGACAAGAAAAAATACATTTTACGAACTTCGTGCTAACTACATCATAACTTTAGAGAAAAAAAATTCTGCCAGTGAATTCTGAATTCACCCAAGTGAACTGCAGCCTCATTGTCTTTGGTAATGGTTGTTTGATGTTGTTTTTTCCTTTTTTTTTAGTTCGCTGTTGTTGTTGTAAAGTTTTCGTAATTAGGAAATAGATTCTATTCACTACATTCACCTGTTCTCTTCAATATACATATAATTCGTGCACTTCTATCTAATTACTTGTGAAAAATATGTGTTTTTTACTCTAACGATTTCATATATGTATAGTATATGTATGTGTATATGAGTTATATGAGTCATATCAATAAACATGAATCAGGAAAACGAGCGAATTAAGAGTGAAAAATAAATGCAAAAAAGTTGAGTGTTCTGTCAATGACATCCATACTCACAATACACTCGAACTAGTTTGTTTAAAATACAATAAATTTTCGTTTTCAATGAATGAATCGAACAAAATGGCCTGAATGAGCCGAAATGAGATTCTCGTAGATGATTTTTTTTTTCACTTTCTTTGGCTTGTAGAAAAATACGTTCTAAATTCACAAATAATTTATAAATAGTTTGTTTTTTGTTGTTGTTGTTATGTATAGAGGTCCGTTGCAAACGATCTTAATAATTTAGTGGGCTTTCGGCTTTTTAATCGCGTTTCTACCAATTTTCTCTTAGTTTTTGTTTCGGTTGGTTAGTTAGTTGGCCGTTTTTCTTCTCTCTTCTTCTTCACTACACGGTGGTGATTGTTATTGCTGTTGCTTTTGCTGTTGCTACAGTTGTAACATTTGGTGTTTTTGTTGTTGGTGGTTTACTCGATTTTTTCACTATATCAAAATACTTTGTACTGTTATACCCGAACAAATCAAAATCGGCCCCGTATATTTTCAATAAGTCCGTTAGAATGACGTCGTCGAGCTTCGAAAAATATCTGAGCAAAAGAGATGAGGAGCAAATTGAAAATGAGACAAATTGACGAGGACACTGATTAATTGCTCAATAACAATCAAATCTTTGAATAAATGGGTGGAAGTTAGCTGAACAATCTCCATGACAATGAAATGGAAATTGTAAATGTCCGTACTTGAATGAAAAACCAAAGGAAAAGCCAATGGTCAACACAACGAAAACAAAATCATGACATTGGTCAATTGGCAATTGCAGTTTCATCCACTTAACTTAAACCACATTTAATTGATATACCACACACTTACTTGTTAATAAGTTTTGCCGTTTGATGCGTCGATTCGTTAGAGATTGAGCGAATTTTTTTGCCGGCTGGCATTTTATTCAAAAGTAGCGTCTCGAGACCACTTTGCCGAATAATGTATTCAGTATCACGTTGGAATGTTTCAACTTTGGCAATTAGAGTGTAATTAATACTGCATGGCGTACAAAATGAATAGATGGGCGTCCAATGCTCATCGAAACGTTCTCCCTTCTTATAGTTATCGATTAAAAATAAAATAAATTCTTTGAATGTTGGTCCAGGCGGTTTCTGCAACGAGAACAAAAGAGCGCACGCACATGCACACGTATTACCCGTCACATTAAGAACAGAGCACGAACAATTTGTAAAATAAAGTTTTGACAGTAGCAAAAATTGAACCGCTCTCTTGGCGCGAGAGCGTGAGCGGAAGACAACACGGGATTGAAAAATGGAGAAATAAAGAACGATATAGATAGAAATTGGGGAAAGTAGGAAAAAAAAGACTCAGGAAATTGCTTACCCGTTTATTTCCCTTGCGAAAGTCTTTAATGATGTGATCGCCCAATAGTTTGTAGTACTTGTTGCGACGACTTTCCAATTTGTTGCGATAGCCGGATAAAAGTCGTTCGAACGGTTCACGTACTATAAGAAATGACAATGAGTTGAAGAGTGCTTCGTTTAGTTCGGTGTCAGATGGTCGTGGAAAACGTTTGCGTGCCAATTCGAGTGGTGATGCTTTGGTGCGTTGCAAAAATTGAACATCATATCCGCCTATGTGTGTGTGAGTGAAATTGAAAATGAAAATGATAAACAGAGTCAGAGGCTGCCACATAAATTGTCGGTTGCAAATGGAAAATTATTTAAGTGCAAATGGCAATTCGTGCCACTCGCCGTTGAAATATGAATCAAAATTGCAAATGATGTGTGCGGCTGCACGAGCAGCAGCAATAGCACTATAGCAATGATACACTTGCCTAATATATTAAAATAGTACATCCATGTTGAGCTGGCCGCTTTAAAAACATTACACCATGCAATACCGTGGCCAGATGAAATGAAAAATTCCCATGCATTTGGCGGATATCGGTCAACCATATCATATTTGGTGCAAGTTTTCCACAAATGATCTCGCCTTTGTTGGAATGCCCGTTCGGCAACCGCCACTTTTTCCTCGCCATACTCATAAATTGGATTGACAGTCGTTGTGCTGGATGGAATTGGGAGTGCTGGTGAATATTGCGTCGCTTTTCCCATCACACCAGCACGATTTATTGATTTATTTAAAACTCCCCCAGCTCCAAATTTATGATAGTTGAACCGTTTGTACGATGGCAAACGTTGCCGATGCTGTTGCTGTTTCTGCGAAATAATACAAAATTTTCGGTATATAAATGTTTACTCGGTCATAACCAGAATGCCATCATAAATTATTCAAATGAGATTTAATATGCATTGCGTATTTGTTTATGCCTTCCCATTGATGTCAATTTGTGCATATTCAAATGGGAAAAAATTGCAATACGAATGCACAGTGCACATGCCATGCAATTTGCAAAGCAGTCCCATTTATTCGTTGTCGTTCGCTCTCTCTCTGTCTCTCTCTCTCTCTCTCTCTCTCTCTCTCTCTCTCTCTCTCTCTCTATCTGGATGTGTTTATTTTTCGGTTCAATATTTTTTTGGGGTATTTTTAAGCATGGCGTAATGGTTTCGATAGAGTCGTAATAACTTACCTCATCGCCCAAATGGTTTCCGTTTCCATTGATGCCATTTTTTACAGCGGCGGCGGATGTCATTGAAACCGTTGACAAAGATGATGATTCCCATGCGGCGAACGATTCACGTAACAGTACAATGAAATAAATCCCAATGACTGACACAATGAGCAAAACTTTTAAGCACAATTGTAGTCGCTTTTTCGTACATTGTATCGATACCATCATTTTGGTCGGATGCATTTTTTTTCCTCTCTCCTCATTCGAAATATCGTTGCCCGTGTTGTTGTCCAATATTAATGCTGTGATTATTCATTATTTTAATATAGTTTCCGTGTTGTTTGCGGCGGTGGCCCAAACAAACCACTTTATTTATGGCCTTTACTAAGTAAAATTTTCTGCCATCAATTGTCCGGTGCCATTTTCGACGCTTCTAAATAAACAAAAAGAAAAGAAAAAACCGTCTTCTATTAGAATAACCCATTCTATTTTTAAACGGAATGAACGTTTTTTGTTGTGGTGGTTGGGGTTGTAACAAATTATCGCAAAATCTATTGGAAGATCGTTTAAATCGCGTGCTGCACACATTGCAATCGAGTCGACCGAGTTCAATGTGCTTTTCATTAATTTGCTGTAAGCTTAAATTAATTAGACGTTTAAAAATCGATGTTCGAGAAATAGTTTAGCCCATTTTGAGTGGAAAGTTTTTGGCGCACAACTCAGTGGTGTTTTTAGCCCCAAGTATGTGTGTGTGTTCGAGCGGCCGAACAGTGAAGCTGGTAGTTTTGAAGAAAATGACGATCAACACAATATAAACGATGAACATGAAGAAGCGGACAAGAACATGGCTTCAATGTGAGCAACAAAGAACACCTGTAACTAATAATTTATGGGAGCGCACTATTGTTTGGCTTCACTTTTATTTTCGTTTTTTTTTCTTTCTTTCGATTTTTTCCTACTCCTATTCTTTCAGCCCGAAGTTTGTGTATTCAATTCGGCGGGTTTATTTTGCGTTCATTTTCTCGTTTTTTTTTCATGTGTTTTTTCTGCATTCGATAAATTACACACATTTCAGCCGATATATCGACGGACAATATAGCGTGGTGCTGTGCTTTTATAGTTACTTAACATGCCATACGCTGATTGTGAAAGTGAAATGGCGAGCCGTTTTGTTGAGCTTTCGCTTATGTTGCCTTTCGATTTTCACTCGGTGTCGTTCCATCTTCGACGCTCCTGCCCCCCCCCCCCCCTCTCTCTCTCTCTCTATTGTTTTCCTTTCTCGGCTGCTCGATTAATTTTGGTGGCAAAGGCATTCAAGCAGGCAGCAAGCCAGCTACAGAACAAGGGAGCTCATATCGCATGCAATAGCATTTACATTCACAATCAACTCGATTAAATATTTAATAGCGGTATGTTTTTACTCTTTCGTGTTATCGTCGCACCACATGAGCTCAAAACTGAAAATCGCGTCAATCGAAAAACTGCGATAATTCTCTCGACATCGTCCTCGTCATCGTAATCGTCGTCGTTGCTTTCCTTGCGTCCGCATGTATGTCATGTGTGTGTACCGTTTTAATTCATTACAATAAAGAATTAAGCTGTGAGGTGACACGATTGTGCCGTGATCAAATGGTGTGTACACCATCAAAGCCCATAAACGGGTGGCGCTCACTTGGTTGTTTCACGCGCCCGCGCTCCTCCGCCCCCACCCATATACACACACTCAGAATGTGTGTTGTTTGAACTGTCGCGTGAACAGGCAAGAAAAAAAAAACCAAAACAACAATAACAGGGAAAAAACAATGAAAAAAAGCTATGCTCAAAAACTTACACAATAATCGTTTTCATGGGGGCAACACATTCAATGTTTAAATAAATTGAATGACTGACTGGCTGTGCACGATTATATGACTGTTGCTATTGTTTACGTCTTTTTTTCATCCTTTCATTCGCAACTGATTTACTATTTCGTCGGATCGATGAACCCATTTTCGAATGCATTTTCACATTCTTCTTCGGCCTTTTTTTGCTGTGCATTCAATTTAAAAGCCACTTGGGGTTTTGTCAATTTTCTCTCTATTTTCCAATTTTTCTTCTCTCGTTTTTTCCAATTTTCTGCGGTTGAATGATTGCAAGTGCTCGACATGTCGATTGTTTCATTCAAATGGCGCGTATTGAATCGAAAAATGGAAAAGAGTTCGGTGATATAGGGAAACCCAATTTGAGAACGAATGAAAAAGGGGGCTAGTACGTGTTTCGCACAAGACACATGAATGACGTTGTTGAACGGCATTGTTTGACGTCATCATGGAAATGGCTTGGAAAGCTTTTTCCTGACAAGAGTTGTGTTGCTCTTGCAACACCACGGCGAACGGTATGGAGCGGAGTGGAGTGAACAGGCGAGCTACATGCAATGACTTGCGACTACTGGTTTACACAAATAAAATCATCAAATCCATTTCAATGATGTGTCGACTGACCATTTCAAAATTGGACGAGAGAGAGATAGGAAAAGAAATAGCAGCAGAAGAAGAAAATCAAGGCGTCGGGTCACAAATTTTCAGAGCTATATTTAGTAGTTATTCGGAGAAAATGCAACAAATCCATCGATTGCTTGGTTTTTGCGTCGTTTCTCGAATCATCTGATTGGAAGTGGAATGAACACGAAAAGCTACCGAATTTTCTTTTCTCGGAGAGTATGAATCACGCGCATCATACAAGTAGCTACGGCATCGGCAAACACACCGAAACAAAAGAAAAATCGGTATACCAATAATCCCGTATATATTTTTTTTCCACTCTTGACTCATTTGTCTTTTTCAAATCTTATCAATGTATCGCCATTGGCGCAGGAAATTGTAGGCTTCCTGTTCGCTTTCTTATCTAGTCAATGCAAATCAATAAAATCGAAAGAAAAAAACACACTTACGTCGACTTAATATACAAGCCAAAGTGGATTCTCGATGATTCCAAGTGAGTCTTTTGTCGTCGTCGTCGTTGGGCAAAGACGAAAAAAATAATCACATTTTCTCTGTCGCTTCCAATTAATCGGCCAATTCACTTTTATCTTTTAACTTTTTTTTATCACAATCTTAAGTCGAAATTTGTTCGCTTTGCAAATTTAAAAATGAAGAATAAAAAAATTAGACCGAAATGAAAAAACCGAAAGAAATTTGGTTGAATGAATACGCGCGTGAACAGAATCTGCACGATTTTAACTGTTTGCACAGCGATGGCTGTCTGAGAACAGAACGAACAAAGTTTCTTCGCACGGCGATTGCCAAGCACTTGTGTTTTGCAAATTTCACGCACACATCGATGGGCTATGACTAAGGACAATGATAATAGCAAGCATACACTGTCGCGTTTGGCCGTTGTGTGAGTGTGGAAAAAGTTTTTCCATCATCTGGTGGATTGGATTTGCGAGAGAGACTTGTGCGATAACACCAACGCACACGCAAACATACATACACACACAAACCATTCCCGCTCAAATGGAGAGCTGTTGCCAATGTATGTATTGACGCCACTATGTCGCTGTTCACAATATTTTGAGGGGTAATTTTGACCGACTCTGTTGCTTTCGACTGTGCTACTGTGTGTTGATACACAGGCAAATTTGCCGTTTACCAAAAGCGCGTTTGTCATCTTCTCTCTCGTTCAAAAAGCGCGTTCGCAATCTGTGGTTGTGTTTGAGACCTCCTCAAGCCCAAAACAGTGAGTGGATAACGTGGCACAAGAAATTGGAATAACAACGGCAAACGTATACCGTTTTTCTCTTTGTTTTTTTTTTCGTCGTTCTTCCACGGAATGATTTGGCAAATCGATGCCGTCTTGCGCATATCCATTATTTTCATTTCGGGAAAACGTGATTAGCATGTGGTCGGTGTATTTGATATCACGAACGTAGTGAGCCTCACACTGGAGAGGGTGTATAAGTATATATCGTTGTATTATACCGTTCATTGTTTACTATACCCTCATTTTTGTACGTTAGAGATAAGAATCCAAACACTTTGCATTTGTTGTAAATGAACGAGAAAATGTGGCATGAATTCATGCCAAGGAAATTCCACGAAGAGAATAATTTCCAACTTTTTTTTCCTCTTGTGAGCGAGCGGCGGCGGTATACAAAAACATATGGTCATTGATATGCCACTAGCTTTGAAGAATTGTTGATCAACGATGACAACGTTACCGTTGCTGCTTTATTTTGCCATTCGCAAACAAAGACATTCGCTTTCAAATGAAAAGCAACAAAAACAATGCTTCCCTTTGACATACACAACAAACAATAACTCATTCTGTCTCAACGGAAAAAAATGCCATCTAGGATTAAGTACAAAGCATTCTATTTTTGTGTTGATTCCATTGTTTTCATTCGGATTGTTTTCTTCTTTCATTTCAGCTTCGAGGCGCCATTTCGAGATTGCATTTCGGTATGAAAATTATACGAATTTACAGGTACCACCCAAATGGAGGAAGGCCCATTTAATTTGACCATTCGCTTAATGCATATAATTTGGACACTCCACTGGGAACCCTTACGCGAAAAAATAAAAACACACGACACTATTAAACGAACCATTAAAACTCAAAACACACATATAATTAATTCGCATTAATTTCCTCTGATTCATGTAATATAGCCTATTCGATTTGAACGGGGACGGCGATGTTGATTGCGAAGAGTTCGAAAAGGTGGCCACATTGGTGCAAAAACAAACGAGCATTGGTAGTCGCCATCGCGATCATGCAAACACGGGAAATACATTTAAGGTAATTTCATTCATTTCAGATGATTTAGCGTTTTGTTTTCATTTTCACATGATTTCATTTAATTTGTTTCTTACTTCTTTTTGATGGCTTATAAATCTGCACTTTAATTAAACAAAATACACTTTTTCACATTAGCTTTACATTATCACGTTTTTATTGCGCTTCTTTTTCTAGTAAAAATATTGCTTTACTAGTGAATAATTGCTTTTTTTGTCTTTGAAAAAAAAAATTGTAGGATTTTATAGTACGTATCATTGGAATGAAATGAATTTAATTCTAATTTTCAAATGGAAGTTTCCAATCCAAATTCTGATGCATTCTTTTCGATTTACAGGGCGTCAATTCAGCATTAACCACATATTTCTTTGGCAAAAAAATGGACAAAAAGTTGACAATTGAGAAATTCTTGGATTTCCAACAGCAAATTCAACGTGAAATTTTGTCGCTGGAATTTCGGCGTAAAAATCCAACGGATGAAGGCAAAATTAGCGAAAGTGATTTTGCCGAACTGTTGCTTGCCTATGCGGGACTTTCGGATAAGAAAAAAGCAAAGAAGATGAAACGAGTGAAGAAGCGGTTCCGTGATCATGGCACCGGCATTTCGTTGAAAGATTATTTGGATTTCTTCCATTTTTTGAATAACATTAATGACGTTGACACAGCACTTACATTTTATCACATTGCCGGTGCCTCAATCGATCAGGCTACACTTAAACATGTAGCAAAGACTGTGGCACATGTGGAGCTGTCCGACCATGTTGTCGATGTTGTGTTCACTATTTTCGATGAGAATTGTAAGATTCGTTGCTCTTTATGTATATATTCTTCTAATTCTGTCAATTCAGTCAATTTCTGATTCTGATTCACAGTCGGATTGGTTTGATTGATTCTAGTTCAATTCAATTCTGTTTTTATTTCATTTTTTGATTTTATTGTTGGATTTTTAATCTATTTTAGATTTAATTTCATTTTTCCATTTTAATTCAATTTCTGATTCTCTGCTCCACAGTGGATAATCAATTAAGTAACCGTGAATTTGTGGCCGTGATGAAGAATCGCCTGCTGCGCGGATTGGAAAAACCAAAAGACACTGGCTTCGTCAAACTCATTCACTCGATGTTGAAATGCGCCAAAGACACGAAACCAGTATTGCTGGACATTTAAGCCGACCAACCGATCACTCGCACAGCCTTCATCGTTTATCCTTAAGTCGATGCTCGTGATGATATGACACTAATATTGAACGTTCTTCACAAAGAAACATTAAAATAACGAATTCGAATTTTTTAAGCTTTTTTCTTTCACCACATTATAAATAGTGGTTCTTTCATCTACAATTGACTCATGTTTTTTCATTTTGTTATTAGATTTGTATCATATTTTTCTTCGGTCCATAGCAAACGCATAAATATATTTACATTTTCGACTTTATGTCCAATTAAATGAATTAAATTGCATTGAATTCGCTTTGTCTCAATGATTTTGTTAAATTTTATGAATAAAATTTACGAACACAACAACTGGTATACCGTTTAAACTGCATGTAATCTAGTACGTCAATGGACACGAACGCACTCTGTGCCGGTTGACAGTTCATCTTGGTAGCTCCGTATGTATTTACATTTTGGTTTATTTGTTTTGATAGGTGTTGATTTCCATAAATAAAGTGCCGCAGATTTATTTTAAAAAAACTGAAGGAAAAACAGAAAAATGATTCCAGATCCACTGCTCTTCACGTTTTCTCTCATTGAAACCGGCGGACTTCTGTTTCTACTGGTGTATTATGTATCCTTTGCAAAGAAAAAAAAAACCAACACACATATTTCATACATCCAATTTAAATATTAAATTAGTTTTCCTTACATAAAAAATTACACAATAGACCATCATTTTATCCGATTTAGAATGTGATTATCTGAATGCCCAGCAATGTTGTTCGAAGCTCAATTTTTGGGTCATTCCGAAATTGGTGGCACATGCATTTTTAGCGCTAGCACTTCTATTCACAGGGCATTATTGGCTGTTTTTGTTGAACGTACCGGTACTTGGGTGGAGCGGCTATGAACTCTATAGCCTACCGTCGGGTAAGTAGAAGCGAGAAAATGATGGATTTTTATGTTCAAACACTGATTTAAGCTTAGAATAGCTTGAAATGGCTTGAATTATATGTAGAAGAAAGCAAGCTAAAGACAATAATTTGAGCAAAAAAATCCTCACAAATTAAGATATAAAATAAACTAATCTAATCTAATTTAATAATTTGTAGGAAACATGGGCCTGTTTGATCCAACCGAAATTCATAACCGTGGAATGATTAAAAAACATATGCGCAATTGTATGATCCACTTAGGCTATTTCTTGATTTTTTTCTTCATTTATCTGTATTGGTAAGCATAGCTGCAATCATTTGCATCGTAGACATGAGTAGTCCATTTTGACCAAACCATTTTGAACTAATGAAATTCAATTCGAATTAATTTTTTTTTATTATTTCTTCAATTTTATCAACTCTTTTCAATATATCTACTTCTTTTGTTCTTTTTCCGATTATTCTCTCCATTAAATCACATTTTCTCTCTTGATCATAATTTTTCATTACATTTCATATTTACATAAATTTTCTCTCTTAAAACGAAAATCCAATTTCCTATCCGTAGTTTAATCAACGCGCTTCTCAAAGGTGATCCAATTAGACGGCATGAAGATGGCGAGATTGTCACTGAGTTTTAAGTAAACACCGGTGAATCTCCGAATAATTGTTAAGATGACCCAACGTGATTAACAGCAACAAAAAATACTCAAAACAGCTACGTTTTTATTGATTCAAACGGAAACCAAATTAATACGAAATCTCGGAAATGTTTGCACATAAGCCGCTCCTATTCTTTCTGCTTAAATTTAAATAAATAAATAAATAATGAAAACGTAATTTCGGCGGTGTTGGTACCAATTGTGAAACTTTGCATTGCAAAATGTTGACATTGAATCAATTTCAGTTGTCACACGCCGATAAAAAAAAATCTATTTTGTGTATTGAACCAAATTCGCTCAAGCTAATTATCATCAATTTGGCATTAAATTGGTTTGAGACAGTATTCGTAAAAATCAACATGATTAAAAAAATGAAAATAAAAATAGATTCTTCGTCACACTGTCATTATCAGCTGATTTACATGAGATTACGTAGTGAGCAAGGTATGAAATAAGAAGATAATGAAAGAATAAGAAAAAAGAAGAAGAATGGACAAAAATAAACAAAAAGAATCCACAAATCAAATGGAAAACGATTTTAAACCGAATTTTCGACGCCAATTCAATTATGTTTAGAAGACGTAAAGTCGATTGATGCCAAAACTGCTTCATGGAGTGTCAAAATATTACATGTAGAAATTCCAAATTGTGAACCGGTCAAATAAACGATTTTTTTTTTCATCATTTTGGTTTCATTTGTACGTTTATGTTATTGAACGCAAGAATAGTTTGCTTGTAAATTTGCACATAGCTAAATTGCGTTCCAAAAAATTGCGAATTGTTTTCCGTTTATTTTGTATTAAATTTTTTTCTTTCATGAGATAATTGTCACTTAATTAGACTGATTGTTTAAACATCGAATTATTTAATTATGTCCCCCAATTCGAAGTTACTGAATAAAAAAAAAGCCGAATGAAAAATGTAAACAGTTCGCGTTTTTTGAATTTATTTAGATTGCTAATAAAAAGAAATAGCGGTGAATCAGTTGTATTGTATGTTAGTTGCCAAGGGAAAAGCGGGAACGATTGCCTTTTTAATTCAGCTGAGCTAAGAATAAACATACGAAGAAAATAAAAAATGGTCTGTTATTCAAATTGTGCGAAGTTTGTGTCAAAGCGGAATTGTAAATAAGGACAGGTCATACATTAAAGATACAATCGTGTGTCGAAGCTTGTTCAAACCAAAAAATGTGCTGGGTAACCAACACTAACAACAAGCAGCCGTAACAGCAAGCAGTAATCACAACAAAAACAGTTTGACAGTGGCGTCGTCGGTGGCGGCATTTGTTCAATATATGTATGCCATGTTTGCGGTGGTGTTTGTGCGCTCGGTTTTTCGATATGGGTACCTGTATAGTACAAGTAAAGTAACAAGTGTAATTTGTTGCTCTATCGCGATATCAATGCCATACACAAATAAACGCGCACACGCAATGTCAAAGCGAGTCCATGCCACTTTTTTTACGTCATGCATCGCTACCACTCTCCAGTCAGCCAGCCAAAGAAATGTGCGATGTTTTCGCTCTCTTTTTGCCGTTGTTGAACTGTCTTTCTCTCTTCGCACACAACTACTACTACGAATCTCAGCTCTCTTGTACCTCCGCAATTTTTCGATTGGAGCATATCCTTTTCGGTCCTGTGTGTATGTGTCGTGAAATCCAGCAAAAGCTTGCCATTCGTACGTCGACGTACATTCGCATCGAACATTTGTACGCATCGAGAAAGCTTGTCGCCGTCGTCGGTTGTTTCGCCAAAGCATTTTTATTGATTTGCCTATGTGTTGAAACCTACTATATCGTTTTGGATATTTAGTAGGCTTGCTAACTGATAAGAACCTCACAGTACGAAGCAAGGTACGATTCTGTGCGTTGTGTTCATTCATCCATGTATTTTTTGTTGTACGAACGCATGTCGTTGTTTCTCTCATGTTTATGCGTTCCATTCATGTGCTGTGCATGCTATTGATAAGCGAGGAATAAAACGAACGACGGCGCTGCTGATAGTGACTTCGGCACTTTACTCCTTCCACTCGCTTGCTGTGAATGTTCTGTTCGGCCGTGTATTGTTTACAGTCCCGATTCACATTTGGTGCGCTCACTCGCTCCCTTAGCCAAAGCCTCTCTTTTTCATTTCAAGCAAATTCCCCATGTGAATCATCAAACGTGTGCACGGCTTTACTCTGTGTGTGAATGTATATTTTGGGTTTTGCATCACACACAGGGACAAATACACACATGACACTATTTATGACGGTGTAACACACTGCCAACACCGAACTGAATGAATACACAGAGAAAATGGTCGGCGCGCGCGAAAAATGGACACACTGAGAGTAAGGGGAGAGAGCGAGCGCGGGAGCACAACTGAGAGAGTGCTCGCGAGCGCCAGTCTCTGAAAGAGAAAGACACGAATGGCGTAACAGAAAGCGAAAGAGCGAGAGAGAACGACAAACGCACGCAAATGTGACACGCTGCTCGCTTCAATATTTGATACGGAAAACGGTGAAGTAGCGCGTTGCTACTGCTGTCGCCGCCGCCGATAAAAGCTAAGCATGTATATGAAATAGGAGACGTAAGTTGCTTGCGTTTTGGCTGGTTTTTCGTTCATCAAAATGGGATTGTCTCTCGTTGAAGTATCACGTACGAAAAATCGTCGCAGAGTGTTTCCAAAATCCGTGTGTATATGAGGTGTTTGTTTCTTTTTAAGTTAATAAAACAATTTGTTGTTTTTGCTTCAGATTTTTGTTTTTCGTTCACAAACTTCAACACCGATTTGGAATCGTAACAAAAATTTTACTACTTAATTTGTTTGAACAATAAAAACAGACGAATATTTAACGAAACAAAGTTACAAAACATTTTTAACACACACACACACATTTATCTCGACGAGAAAAGAAACATTAAAGCAGCAGCAGCAGCAGCAGCAGCAGCTAGCTCTCCGTGTTGTTGAAGAGGGTTTTGTGCGAATGGTGCGTTACAATCTATCGGTTGTTTAAATATTAACGATTTCTTCGTGTTTATGCGTAACTCGATACACTCGAACGCTGAATCAGTGTGTGCGTGTGTGTGTTTTTTTCTGCTGCTGTGCTCGCATAAGGATGCGAGACTTTAGATTCAATTCATAATAAACAGAATACCGAATAGAGAGCTATCAAACGACAAAGAATCACAAACAAATCCACATTTTTTTTTTGCAAGACAAAAGTGTGAGATTCAGAGTGTTGAGTGTGAAGCACGAAACCACAATAGCGAAAGTGTCAGAAATATGAATCAATCAGTAGGTTGTGTTACAATTTACAGCGTCCAAGTGAAAATCAAATAAATTGAGTACATGTGCGACATTGACGTTGTCGTCGAAATATTGAGCAAAAATACGAGACAAAAGTAAGAGTTGGAGAGCTCACTTCGAAGTCTGGTGTCATTCGGTGCTCTATATCGAATTTTGTGTGTGTTGTGCATAAAAGTAGTGTGCTGTCACAGAGAGCCACTCTTTTCGGCGGTATTTTGCAATTGCGACACCGTGTGTGCGTCGAATTGTGTGTAATATGTACATTTTCACAACTGAATGATAGAAATACGTAATAAAAACATAAACCAGAACTATAAAACGCAAAATCAAACAAACGATAACAAGAAAGTAGCAAACAAAGAAGAAAGAAAACCGAGAGAAAGAAAGAGAGTAAAAGAAAAGAAACAAAGTTTGGTTGTGCGACAACGATTATGACGACGATGACGACGACGACAACAACAACAACAACACACACCGAAATCACAGATCCCAAAAAATACAGATAAATGAATAAAAAAACAGAGAGCTGTGAAGCGAAACAAGTTTTAATCAGTTCATTCAGAGCAGAGCACGAGAGAAAGAGAGGAAGAGGCTGAAGAGAAAGAAATTTGCCGCACACATCTTATTTTTTTCGTCTTCGGCACAAAATGTTTGTTTCCATGCGATACGAACCAAAGAACCGAGTTTGTTTGAATGCATTGCGATCATGTAAGCTGTCGATTACACGAAAAAGGCAGCGCAAAAATTGCATGTAGATGTGCTTAACACAAACACAGAGAGCACAAATAAAGAGTCACACACTCAATATTTAATTGATTTTATGAGATTTTTCTTCGCTCAATCGATTCTATAAGCAGCAGCACGATACAGATTGTTACATCACGACGACAACGACAACGATTTTTTTCTTCTTTCGTTGTTGCTCTCACAATCTGCTCAGCCGCCCGTCAATCGATTTCCAAACCGAAACAATCGAATCGAATATTATTAAATATATTTTGCGTATGCATTTTTTGTCCGTCTAACTCTCTCTTGCCCCGAACGCTTACAAAATAGATGCGAATGAGAAAAAAAAACAGAACCATAAAATTCAATAAATAAGAAAACAACAACCACCGAAATAAAAAAAAACAGACATAGCACGTAGACCAGTCATAACCATTAATCGAATTCTCGGTCTACGCTCGGCTTTGAAATTAAATCACTGTGATTCAATTTAATTAGTTTTTCTGTTGTGTGTTGTGTGTGAGCTGAGCACAAGTGACCGAATGAATGCGCGCTGTTCCGTATGTACCGAACAAAGAGGCAAAATTGACAATCGTATGACATTTCAAGAGACGAGAGACAAAAACAACAACTCACACTTAATAATAAGAAATATACTCGCAGATTGTTGCTTTTGAAAAACGATTCACCGCTAGTGAAACTGGACACTCAATTAGAAACATATAGTTGGTGTTTTTCTGTTGTTGTTGAAAGAAAAGAATGACAAAAAAGTAAGACAACAACAGACTCATGACAAATGAATGAAATCATAACGAGATAGTTGCAGATTTGTTACACAGCATTTTAAGTACCCCGACGTAAAGTGTTCGAGTCGCGCGCGCTACAGTTGATTAAGAGTCATTTGTTGGATTGTGTGTGTTTTTCTTTCGTTGATTCGTTTGGTGTTTTGAGAGCGAAAACAAATGCGAGCCGCGCGTGAGATGATGAATTTTACTCGATTTATTGATATACAGTGAAGTTACTCAATATCGTTACATGAAACCACCAGCAAGACACTGCTATTGCAAGTAATTGAGCTCTCTCTGTGTCGTTTGTCGATCAGCTAACCAACAGCATCGAATAAATTATCAATCAGCCAACAACATAGCACTGAGAGATAGCAAGAGAGTATACATAACCGGCGGCGACATCACCAATAGCCATTTCAAATCGTCTCACATTCCGCATTTGGTGAAAAACAAGAAATATCCAATTTTGTAATTGGCCAACGACATTTTTCCCAAAAACGTCACAACCAATCAGTTTGTAAGTATCAAACCAATCTCGTACTATTTTGTTCAAATCAATTTCGTAGTCATTTCATTTCAAAGAAATTAATATTCATTGAAAAGAGTTTTTGTTGTTGTAATTGTTGATATTTCCATTAGGCAAAAATCGATCGTTTCGACCATTTCATAATATGTAATGAGAACATCAATTAATCTTACAACGAAATCACATACACCGTGCGCTCGATTACAATGTACCGACCAAATCCATTACACACTGCATTTGTGCGACTATAATTTTCGTTTAATTCACTCTGAAATGAGCAATTGTATCGCGTATAAAAATTGGTTTCAATGCTATTCAAATAGACTGCAGTTTCATTTCGACCGACGGCAAATAGACACACACAGCAATGGGCACCCAGCTGTAGCCCCGTGCACATGTGACACACACACGCACATGATTAGCGCTCATTGCATGAATAGACAATAATATATGAAAAATCCCTGCAAATATATGAAGTAATCGGACAATCCCGCCGCTTTTAATAGCGCCGAAGATCATATACATTGCGTGCGGTCGACCCGACTAGTTAGCTTCACTCGATTTGAAATATGAATAAAATCGACATGTAGAAAATGAAAAAATAACAACAACAACAACAAATACGAAATAAATAAGCATACAACGCGCGCGCGACCACGACACAACCACAGTCAACTCTCAGTTGCTTGGAGAGAGAGAAATAAGTGGAATATTCAATTTTCAATATCATTTGATGTTTACATACGATACGTCGCACACACTGTGCGACGCTCGACTAGGTCATTTCATCGCTTCACTTCGTAATACATCAAAATTGTGTGTGAGAGTGTGTGTGTGTGTGTTGTACAACAATACAACACATAACCAGATCTGAAACCCATATTGCGCCTATGCAAGTCGCTTATTTTCAACGACAAAATCATTTTCTTCTTTTTTCTATTTTTGTTCTGGGACGGTTGTTGCTTTAGCACTATCCAAATTCAAATATACAAAACTATGCATCCAGGGGCCGTTTTAAATGAAAAATAAACAGAAAAAACACACAATTTTTAGTAATAGTTCTAAGAATCGGACGCTTCAACTTGTAACAACAACTCACCTGTTTTTTTTCTTTTCATTCGTATGCGATTTTTTTCTGCGTACAGTCCAATCACAACATGTCGACGGATTGCGAGATTGATATGAAAATAGAAAATGACCAGTAGTATCATCATTCATCATATAAAGTGAGAGATTTGAAAAATTTATTTTTAATCCGCTTCCATTTGCACACAATTTTCTCTCGTCCATCGGAATCGTTTATCCGCTGCTACAGCATTTGGCATGACTGAAGTTTTCGGTGTGTGTCACTTCAGCAGTCAAATCTTTTGCGACAATTCGTCTGAACTATTTCATTTCGTTAAAAAAGACGACGAGCTCCTCTTTTTTCTGAGTGAGAAAATGACACCAAATGATATGTATTTTCAATGGAGACCAACATATTAGCGAATAAATTCGAAACGCTTCGTGTTGTCACTCTGAAATGCATGGCAAATACTGTGATTCGTAATGAGATAAATCATTAGACATTTTTATTGCAGTGTTTGCGTGCGTCATGTGTGTGCGACGGTTACCAATTGGAATCGTCAATCGTCGCCGTCACATTAATATGTGTGATAAATAGCTATGCATCGAATTTGGTGTCGTTAAAACTTTTTCTTCACATTTGTCAGTTTTGGCATTTGGAAAATTGAAGGCAATTTATTTTTAGTTGTGTGGATTTAGCCGCATTTTAGTGTGGGCACTGCATACAACTAGTTCATATTCAGTGTACTTGTTACTCCATATGATTTTTTGGGTATTTTTTTCGGTTCATTTTTGCCCAAAAATAACACACAAATGGCTTTTGTGTTGTTATCGCCGCCCATTGCTTTTTCGTCCACACAATTTTCTCGTTTCGCTTTCTTCGAGAGTGGGCTCCGTCAGTGTTTTTTCCGCAACGTCGGTTGTGTGTTTCATATTTCGCATTTGATTTTGAATTCCATTCCAGTGCACATGTGTGTTTGTGTGACCTTAAGGCCATGATCGATGTGCTCCTATAATAATATGGAGCAACTTATCACGCCAACTTTAATAAAGCCAACGATTAATTAACGATGGTAGAAAACACAAAAAGAAAGGAGAAATATACACACAAAACAGATCGACACGAAAAGAATGAATTAATTACCCGTGGTCGAGAAGGTGCTTTAATGTTTATGTGCCCATTGTTTTCTTTATCTTTAATTATTGCTCTTGATCATGTTTCAATGTGTGTGCCATACTATGGTTTTTTCTGCCGTTGATTGTAAGCCGAGTAACGCCCAAGTATTAAAAACCATGACATTTTCGACAGAATCGTTGCGGTTTTTTTCACCCAATAAAAACAAAATCGTCGTGCATTTGTCGCCGTCGTCCGTTCACTTTAAATGTCAGCAGGAAAATTACATTTCGACAGCAATGTAATCAAGAGCACCACTAATGGGAAGCCAATCGCTTCCTAAATAATGAAGTAGCATCCAAATGACGGACGCAAAAACATTACGGGGCCAGATAATTTGTGAACAATCAAATCGTCTTAACGAAATCATGTGAAAAATGTTTATAGATTTTTTTGCTCGCTCGGTTTCAATGCGATTGAGGCGTCACCGATGGCAAAGCCATAGTTTCCCGCCTTCGGCGTACATGAAATAAATTTCGAATGAAAAACATTTTTAAAAAATCCGATGAAACAAATTATATCCTACACACACCGAACAAATGCGCACTGAAATCTCTCAATTTCCCATGAAAATTACATTATTTTTCAATTCTTGAAGGCTACGAATCGACAGTGTCATCGTGTGCACAGGGGCCGCGCGTAGCATTGAACAAGTCACCGAGATACAGTTTTTTTTGCGAATTGCTTTGGGTTTTTTTCTTCTTCTCTTGCTCTCTATGGCTTTTCTCTTGTGGTAACACAATTAATATAAGTTTTCCGCGTTGACATTCGAAGGAAGTTCGTTAACTGTAATTTTGTGGTGCGACAGATGATATGTGATGGCTCGGAAACTTTTTCCTTCGTTTCGCAGTCAATATGTGTGGTTTGGGTTTTTTTCGGTTCTAGTAGATTTGTCAAAAGGAAGTGATAAATATTTCCAGTTCGATTGAATGCGGTGACAAATTTTCCGTCGGGCTCATTGATTGGACGCACATCAAAATGGTGTGTGATTTATTTTCAGTTTGACATACAGCTCACATGTATCACATGCACACACACACACACACACACACACAGCCATGAGATGCAGGCTACCGCAAAACACAAATTGAAATAAATCAAGCAACCAACCAACCAACCGACCGACTGATCCGAACCAACGGTAGCACAAAAAACCAATAAAACTTTAATGGTTTTACTTTTGCCAACAAACAACTATGGGAGTAGCGCATTCGAGCTGTGAACTAGCTGATAAAGCAGCCACAACGCGCAAACGCACACGGATAAAACGAGCAAAAAAAGAACACAGCAACAACAAGCGAAATTATCTCGGTCGAAAATCAAGCGCGAGAAGTGTAATAAGTTTACAATTTAACGATCTATCATATGTTGTGAATGACAGAGTGTGTTTGTTCAATTTTAACAGTCAAGCAGTAAGTGAGTGAACGACTGTGAGCTGATTGTTCAATGTTTGTATAAGCACGAGAATTTAAATACTATTTTTTTTCCATTTGGCACAGCACAGCAGAAATGCGCACGCACACATACAACGTTGCGTGTCTCTTCGTCTAGTGTCAACATAGAAAATGTGTGTGATACAAACTACATGCTGTTCGGTGTAAAGTTGAACACAGAGACAGATGCAAAAGAGTTCTTCAATATTTACCTCGAAGTCATTTGAATTTAACGTAATGCAAACAGTAGCAAGGCAAGTGGAATCAACAACAACCTGTCTTTCGGATCTCACTCTTTCTTTCTTGCGCGCCCGCGCTCACACAATTAATTACAGCCCATAATGGCGTTCATTGCCTGACAAACACATTAAGCACTGTGTGTACGATGTGTACGCGCACCGCGCGCATTTTATCATCTTTTACGCTCTTGCAATGGAATATTTGACACACAGAAACGCACACAAAACACTTTTTTGATCTTGGAAATCATTAATCTTGTGCAAGTTGTTGTGTGTTTTGCTTTTAAATACATTCTGAAAAGCGCTTTTCCTTCACTTCAACCGCTTGCCGCGCACACACACACAGTCAACCAGAGGCAGTCAGCGATACAGCATTAGCACCGTGTACACACACTTACTCATTCGCGATGACGTTGTGATTATTCTGAAAGTGGCTTGACTTGAGGTTTTTTTTCCGTTCTAATAAATTGGTTATTGAGTTTTCATAAGCCGTACACACATCGTTGTTCATAAGACAATGCACTAATGACAACAAAAGACTCGACAAAACTGACACTGTTGATCGTCATATCTCTCTCTCTCTCTCTCTCTCTTTTTGCTTCTCTGTCATTCCTCTGTGCAATGCTAAAAATCACGGTAACAATTACAGATTAATTGATCGCTTAATGGCGCTTGTAAAACTGCTCACTTTTTGTAATACTTGCATCTCGTTACTCCACTTGACTTAGCCCATTTAAGTTTTAGATCTCTTTTGTTTTATTTGTTTGCCGTGGGATTTGTTTGAGCATATGCTTGAGGGTTGTTACATGAGATCATTTTTCATCGAAACTTTTGTTCGAAGAAATGAAGTGAGTCAAAGTGTGTTTGTGTGAGGATTGAAACTTATGTAAAAAAGACTTACATGATGGCTTTCACTTCCTTTGTGATTGCCTCCCAATTTGGACACCCATCATTTTTGAAGCATTCAAATTGAAATCAATTATACAAGTGATTGCCTCTGAGTATTCGGAGATTTGAGGATCAGCACAAAAGCCTTGGATTAAATGGAGCACAACAGAGAAAAGGCACACAGCACACAGATAATGATAGTGTGTGACAGTAGAAAATCCCACATCTCGTGCATGTAACATTTATACATGATTAGAAGATTGTTTAGAACTGATAACTAAATATTTACATAATCATAGAATTATTAACTAAATGGTTATATTATCTTTGCAATTTTGCCGAGTTGTTGAATTGACATGATGTACTGTGCTCCATCTTCTCTCTCTTTCTTTCCCTCTATCTCTATCTCTCTCTATCTCTCTCTCTCTCGGTTTCTCTGGTGGTAATAGGTATATTATATTCCAGTGTGTAATATACATGTTTGAGTCAATTAATTATACGGCTGAGTTTGGTGGATGTGTTGCATGACAAACCGAATTGATATAGCTGTATTGAATGACCATTTTTCATCATAATGGATTTTGATATTTCCGAACATTCTTTATTCTTTATTGATTAAGATGATTTATTATTTCGAGAAAACCAATATTTTCTAAGGAATCTCCCTCTTGACCTCGATTGGGTTTAATTTGGTAATTTTTCTGTGGTTATAATATTAACGTCCAAATCAATGGAAAATCTTAAGTCGATGAATGGAAGTGTGTGTGTTTGTGAGAGACACGAGAAAATAAGAGAAGTGCCAGCCTACCACATTTTCGATTAAATCACGTGAATGTTGAAAGATTTTATCTGCAATAATCGATTTAGCAGCAAAACTTGTGTTCCGATCGATTAGTGATAAGCCGTTTTAATTAGGTTTGTTTGCTATTTACGCCTGATGAACTGTGACAAGCTGTGTGCGGTCGCGGATGGTGAATTATAATTGAATGTGAAAAGAAAAAAACCAAACGACAACAACAAAACAGATGCAAACGATGATTCAAAAGCGGATTAAATGGGATTTTCTAGTTGGTGTGTGTGTGTGTGCGAGAGGGAAAATGGGTATTTACAAGCGCAGCACAAAATAAATAATTACTTCGTTAAGTTTTAATCACGCGATTTGCGAATATATGCATTTTGTCGATGTCCAACCGACGGGTCGACAGCCGACGTCGATTCTCTCGTTGCTTTTTTTTCTCCACTTGTCACAAACACACACGTACACAACCCATCGAACCTTATCGATGAGTGCTGCTATTTTATTTATTTGCATGCTAAAGAATGTGAACCACTTGAACTTTTCAGCAGTAAACGGGCTATGGTTCGTGATGACCTTCGTCAAGTGGGGAACACTCGTTATTTTTGCAAATAGAATTTTTTTTGTCGTTGTTGTATGGCAATGAAAAAAGAAACTAATCTACTTTCTTCATGTTTATCTCTTGATTGCGTTTAGTTTATCCATTATTCAAAAGAAGAGGGAACTGGTCGCAAATGGTGGCGCTGCTACGCTAAATTGAACGTCCTTTTCGATGGTAGGGCCGTTTGTATATGGTGAAGGAGCAAGAGCGAAATGAATAATGGACTGGGTGTGTGCGTGTGAATAAACCAAACCGAATGAACCGAGTCGAATGAACGAAAGAGAGTGAGAACGAGAAATAGAATGCGAAAATGCCGTTAGCTAAATATCGATTTACCACTTCTTGGGCCCAAGCTTTTGTTCAAATATAGAAGGCGAACCACGTCCGTGACGTGATTTATCAATAATTTGCGCGACCAATTGTTTTTTTTTCTTCTCTTCATTCTCTTCGCTTGCTTTTCATTTTTATCATCGCGCCCGCTCACTTGATGTATGGAAAAATCAGCTGCGCCTCTGCGAACATCTAGGCAAAAAACGTTAACCATGATGAACGAAGGAAAAAAAAGCCGAACACAAGCAACATTTCCAAACTCTTATCCCTTTCTATCTGTGTGCCATATTCATACAATATTTTTCCTATTTATATTTTGCTGTTGTTGTTGTTATGTTGTTCCGTTGCCGTTGTTAATATCCTGTGAACAACCTATAAATACGATTTTTCCTTCTTTCGTTATATGTATATCGGCGAGGCAGTGAACGCGTTTGCCGATATATTAACTACGACAACAACATCGACGGCGACGACGATGATGATGATGATGCAATGCGAAGCAAGAGCTGGCAAGCAAACGAACGAACGAACCAGAGTCACAGGCGCAGAGTATGAGTGTGTGTTTTCTTTTATGTTTGGGGCTCGTGCCGTTGATTGGTTGTTTAGAGTGTGTCATGTAGCCGATGATGCTGTATTGAAAGAGATATTCGAGATCCAATCTATCAAAATCAATATTTTCCATCATAAACCATATTTTATGTGTATATTTGCTCATCCTCTTACAGACCTATGAAAATAAATGCTCTTCGGGCCCGCATTCAACACAAAAGCACTCTCATTCGGCTCACTCACTCTTGCTAACACAATAAATATCCGCAAATAAGTTAACGGGCCCACACTTAACGGACAAAAAAAATCACTTTTAACATTTATTGAGAAAAAAAGAATTACGGCATTTTTTTTACTGGTGTTGTGTCGTTGTTCGACCATTCGTTCGCTTACCACCATTTCCGCGAGAGACCACCATGCTTTTGCTGGACACAAACGGTTCGAATGAAGGAATACATCAAATGATACGTAATAAAAACACAATCCCAACTGAAATGCTCATAAGTGCTTCAACTTTATAGGAATCCCATTTGGCACACCAAGCATTCTATTGACACGCTCTCGCACCCGTTTTTCTTTACTCCTCTTCTTCATCCGTTCCATTCTCCCGTTCTGTTTTTCTACTACTCTCCCTCTCATTCACCCTCTAGATGTCCGTTTTTCTCCGTTCGCTCGAGTTTTATCGGACATTGCATCGAATGAAAAATCGCGCGCACACAACATATGAACGAAGTGCCACTTATTAAAATGAACAGTTTGGCGCTGTCATAATTATCCGAACAGAGAGAACAACTTATAGCAAGAATTATGCGATTATCCTGATGTCATATTTTAGTAAGAATTTCATACGAATCATATGCGAGTAATTCCATTGCAACATGGGGAAAAAGCTCATCATTAAAAAGTGACATGAACTTTCGCCGAACAACGCAAAATGCAATTTAAATGCGAGAGAGAGTGTGTGTGTATATTAAATTTCTTAACCGTTACCATTCTGTCATCATCGAATGATGGAATTACTTTTTTAATGAGTTTTAAATTGTCAGAAAAAAGAATCTCTTTCGCATAATGGGAAATGATTATCAAAACTTTTCGTAATTTACGTCATACATTTCCATCAAAGGCATGCACTCGGTTGTTTGTGTATGCGGTGAATGATCCATGGCTTTATTCAGCACTTCATTCGCTCTTTCTTGCTCTGCGTTCAATAGCAGCAGCGCAAGTTAAGCGAAAATGGTGTGTTTATGTTATCCCAAAAATCGAACAAATTTACTAAAAATAAACAAAAGCTAAGTAACATCGTAGAAAAAATGGTCACCAAATATTCACACGCATACAAAAGAGAAGAGCAACAACAACAAAAAACGACCTATAAATGGATTTCTAGGGGGTAGGAACACAAGCGCTTGAGACGAATTCGTACGAATATTCGTGAATTCTTGTGATTGTGTATACGAGACATTCGCAGCGCAGTGAGTTTACAACAACAATAACAAAGCCACGAACGCATGAATATATGCGAATACATACGAATGACACAACTTGTTCCTAGCCCCTAGATGGATTTTCAAGAGCATTTTCAACATGATGGAACGCAAACAACCTTCAGACCAGACTTTTCAATATTTGGTTTAGAATATACCGAAAGAAAAAAAAATTCATAATTCACCAAAGGCATCTTTATTGCTGAAGTAAAACAAATCTTATTGATGAAAATCAATTTGTTATTCTATTTTTTGTTCGCTCAAGCTCGATAACGAAAGATTAAATGCCAAGACTTCTATTAGAAGTAACAGACGGTTTTGAAAAAAACAAAATTATCTTGAAAAGAATAATTTGGAAAATATGGCTGTGGGATTGTGAGCGCGGGCGTATCAAATCCGCTCAATGAGTGGAAAAATTTCGAACGAATTTTATTCAGATTTTCGAATATGATTTCGGTTTCAAGGCAATGGGGTGTGGTACGGTGGCTTTTGGAATGGATTTGGATTTCCAGCAATCTTTTAGATTGATTAAATCAATTATGAATATGAATTTTGGCATCGCCAAACACACAATGAATTTGAATGGCAAAAAAGCGTCTATTTCCAGAAGAAGCACCACGTTTTGGCTGCAACCTACTGAACTATTATTATTACTGGATTATATCCAAAGTGGGTTTTTGTCTGCTTTTTTTTCGTCTTCTCTTTTAATCCACAAGAGACTAAGTGACGCATTTTCACTTCGGCAACTTTGTTTGGAACAATTCCACCGCTGGGTTTTGGTCGCTTTTTCCATTTGCACAAATAAATTCATTAAATACACACCTCTTTTGTTAAAAAAAAATTATTCCCAGTCTTAATGGGAATGGCTGTTTTGCGATCACAACAGAAAATGGCTGCCATTTTCCAACTAAGTTAATAAGAAAATGCAACTTTCCAAAGTTATTTCAAAAGTGATTTATAATTTTCTTCGTTTTTTTTTCTTTTTCTCTCATTTGTAATTTGCTGTTTTTTTGTTCTTCTTCCAGATGCGTGACGCGAGACCAGGACATTGAATGCTGTGTTGAAAGTGGCCGAGTTGTAAAGAAGACTAAACATCATCATTGAGTGTTTCGTTTTTAAATTAGTTTCACGACGAAGATTGTGACAAAGCGTCACTCTTACAACTAATGAAAAAAACTGTTATTCAGTTGAGAAACTTAAGACACAAAGTTGCGTTTTGATTAAGGACATTTTTAAAGAAAATTAGACGACGAGGATTTTGAAAGCAACAGCAGCTAACTTCGTGCATTCATTGGGCGATTATAACGTATTTTCTCTTAGAGCGTTGTGTGGGAGCCCATTCTAAAATATTCAACGAGTCGCTGATCATTATTAAAGAAGTAACAGAGGTTATATTTGATATATACGTAAAAAGAGAGAGAGAGAGAGAGAGAGAGAGAGAGAAAAGTTGAAAAGGCGTAAAAATGGCATCATCAGCACTTGCAACCAAATCCGAGCAGCAGTCACCGCAGCATCAAACACCGACCAAGACATCACCATCATCTTCGTCGGCCGTTACCGCATCAAATGCACAGCAAAGCCCACGCAACACAGCTACCAATGCGATGACAACCGGGACATACGTATCATTTGGACCGGTCGAAGTGTCCAAAGCACTTCAAGATGGCGAAAAGTTCGTGAAATGGGATGAGGTACGTTTGAATTCTTTTTCTCTTTTCCCTCTAATGGTGTATTTACAACTTGACCCTTCTTTGCAATCCGTTTGCAAAACAATATTCCTGCGCTGGCGACACAAATGACTGAATTTAACACAAACTCAACGCCATTGCAAATGTATGCTTGTAATAGCCGAGATTTCTATTTTTATTCTCGCTATCGATGGATTGGAAGTGACTTGAAAATAGCCCTTTTTATGCCTTTTTGTTTGCCATTCATAATTTTCGAAGAAGAAAAAAACACATTTCTGCCACTTTTACGACACAATTCCATGGCACAAATCGATATTCATCTATATTTATGATGGCGTCGGATAAGAATCAACTTTTTTGAATCGGTTTAGTTTCGTCGTCTCTTTGTCGTGTTTGCATATGACAACGGAGAGAGAGGGAAATGTGAGTTCATCTGTCAAATTTTGAGTTGATCAGAAAAATGTGACGGTTTTTCGCAGAAAAGGAAAAAAATCGATTGAGAATTTTGAAATAATCGAAATTTCAACAAAAAGGAAACAATCAAAAACATTTCACAATTTAAAATTAGAAATTTGCATTCCCTTGTATCACGCACATCGTCAAGTTCATTATTTATGGTGAAAAATCGAAGCATTGCGTACGTCATCCGTTCATTAGGAACAAATTCGGTAAACTTTTAATGGCCACGAACTTTAAAGCATTTCACTCGCAATACTTTGCATTCCATCTGCGAGGAATTTTGTGAAGGCGTATGCGCTCCACCACCTTTAAATCGTCTCATCAAAAGCGAAAGCTGCCGAAAAATATGTGCAAAGTAATAAGCATTTTATCGTGCTGAAGATTTCACAAATATAAGCTCAAATCATCATTTTCGCTTCCTCTCGCTCTTGCTCTTGCTTTCGCTTGCTCGCACATTTTTTTTATCGAAGCGAAATAAACTTTACCTGTTTACTTCAAAACATTCAAAGAATGAAATGAAGCGTGAATGGCCGGGGGAAAAGAAGCACAATTCTCTCGGTTTTCAAAGAAGAAGCAATCCCATGCTGAAGCGAGAAATCGATAAAAAAAAGTAAACTGGAAGTGAAAACGCGTGGCTCAAACAAATTGATTTCTTATTTGCCTATCGGGTTTTGATCGAGGTAAAGGCAGCGGCAGCAGCAGTACAAAAAAACTTTTCGATGAAAAAGAATAGCATTTCAAAGCATTTTCCAACATTTTTTCTGCTGTTGCTGCTGCTGCTGTTGCTGCCTTGTGTATTATATTAATAAATCAATGTCTTTTAATCATTGGGATATCCATTCATCCGACGGTATAATCCACTAATGGGATTGCTGCTGTGAAAACGAGCGCTCGTTTGCCCATCTTTTTTTGTAACGGGCTATAAAATTTTCTATCGTCATGATTACAATAATTTTGCGTGTGGCGTTCGAATGAGCTCGCTGTCATTTCTCAGTGGCAGGTTTCCTTTGTCAATTTCGGGTTGATTTGCCCATTGAAAATGCATGTTCCAACAAATGAATGCTTGTCTTATCAATTTGCCGATATCTTTTCTTTCTTTCTGTTTTGATTTCCATTGGCTATACCATTGCTACGGAAGCGGCATATTAATGCGATGGAAATTGCCACATGCGAAATTCATTTCGTTTCAACGTGTAATTTAGGGTAGTTTTCAATTTTCTTCGGAAACTCGCCGCTTCTAATTGACGTTGCTACAAACGAAGCTAGCGTGACACATATATGACATTTATTTATACCGTATTATGTTTGACCTTTTCTTTTCGATCGCATGCGTATCATCGTTCTTGTACATTCTTAAAGACGATTCATTTATCTCCTTTTTTCACCTGGAAATTGCCAAGCGATATTTTGGGGGTGCTAATGATTGTATGTTTGGAAACGAAAGCCTTTACGCATCAGTCTATTCGAAACGATTAATTTCATTCGCACGGAGAATCCTTTCGACAACTATTTTCTATCTATGAAATAGAATCAATCGCATGCCATGAAATACACTGAATGCTTTTTTTGTATTTTGAGGAAAATATTGCACCCAGTAACAAAGAATAAGGTAATTTCTATATAAATAGTTTGATATATCAAGCTTCTTGATTGAAGCAACTAACAACTTGAGCTTCTTTTTATAGAGCCTTTCAATTGAATTCTATTCAAAGTCCATTTGAAAAGGGCAATTCAGTTGTATCAGTCTATTTATTATTTTAAATTATAGTGTGATGTCGTTGTTGTTGTTGTTGTTTTTTCTCTCTGTTTGGATTTCATTTGTGAAAGGGCACTTAATCATAATGATTGACACAAGATGATTTGTCAGCATCTACAAATTTCGAGATTGAACATTGCCAAGGATTTCAATCTTAATGATAATTATGTAGCGTTGAGCTCAAGACCAAATATTTAAGTGATAACTAGGTGGCGGCAAAAGTGAAGGGAAAAAAGACGTAAACTGCCAGACAATGACATTATTTCGACTCGAGAAACCCAATTACAGCAAAAGTTATTTGCAAAAATCTTCCTCGCTTTTCATGTCTTCTCCTATCTGTCTGTTTTTCTGGTTTAATCTCTCATGATTTGGCCCATTCTTCCTCTCTCTCACTCCCTTTCTCCCGCTCTTGCCCACTCTCTCTCTCTCTCTCTCTCTCTCTCGTTTTCCTTCCTTTCGCTGCTTCTTTCTCGCTTTCATTCATTCGCCGAAAATAAAATCACCATGATTTTTCATTTTATGCGTTTGCCGAAAATGTTCACTCTCTCGAAATAAAAAAGCAAAGCGATACGCTCGACTTTAAATCAAACCATGTCATTATAACAATGCGAAAACACGCATTCTTGTTTCGACTTCGTTACATTTGTGGGAATTGTGTGGCAGCCACGTATCTCGTATTCGACATTGTTTCCCAAAATCGTGCGAAATTCCGCTGTTCACCCAGGCATGCTGTTATGATGCGTACATAAATGACGTTTGGTAGGGTGAATTCCATCTCAATGTGAAATAAATTAATGGTAGTGTGTGCGCCTGAGTACATTTCCCATTGTCGACAATAAAATGTCGCGTATCTTAACATTTGATTTTGAACCGTGCAATTGTTTTATTTCCATTCACATTCAGCTACTCGCAGTGTTCTTTTCTTCTCACCACCATTTTCGCCCATTCACCAGCGTCAACTGTTATTTCGGTACCAAATGTGTGTATCGAACACAACGTGTTTCGCTACACATCGAACGCAATTTACTGAAAATCTAATGCCCTTTCAGTCGCGCGCAAAATATTGAATCTTTATAAAGATTTATCATCACCAATAATGTGTGGTTTGTGCATAATATATAAATGCGACGGCTTTTCACACGCGCGAGATGTGAAGAAAAAAATTTATACATATATGCGAGTCTCGCATATCGCGATCACACGCAACGCACATAAATTCGATTTAAAGCAAATACCACAGCAAAACGGAATCGAATGAATTATATTATAATAACACAAAGCGATAAAATATCAAGCGGGACTTCGTTACTTTTTTTCGGTTCGTTCGTTATTTTGCTCGTTTGTGCGTTTTGCGGCGTCGACGGCGGCGGCAGCGGCTAAAGACATCCTGTGCCAATTGGCGCGAACCGAATTTCATTTTCTCAATCACTTGCGATCCACATGAATCATCATTAACGTCATGCTTCATTTCGAAAATGTTCTATTTACGCGGCCGCATTCTTATTTACTTTCCTCCAAAATTGAAGCAATAACTTTTTGTTTATGTCGGCAATTTACAGCGCGTGTGTGTGCTCTTTTTTCCAATTTACAGTTTGTTTTCTTTTTCTTGCTGTTTCTCAGCATCAGCCGGCGGCTTAGTCTACGTCATTATTAATAATATTCAGTTTAATTTTCAATTTTTATTGAAAAATTGCACCGCTTAAGACTGCGCAATGACTGCATCAAATCAGAATTGATTCAGAGAAAGTGATGCATTTTGCAATGGCCGAAAATAAATTCGTTATTAACAACACAATCCCAAACGATTCCATTTTATTTATGTGGCATTTGACTTTTAAACAATTTGAATGCATCAGTGGAGGAGAGCAGAGAGAGAGAAGAAAATATAGAAAATCGAGGCAAATTTGTTGATTTCACCGCAACGCCTATTTTGCGCTAATTTTTTTTTTCTCGTGTAAACCGGAATTGCACATTGACTAAAATTCATCACACAAATCCGAAGGCCGGACCAAAAAAACGGCAGTCTCTGTGTAATTCCAATTACATTGGCGCATCGAGTGCAAAAAAAGCGGCCAGCTTTAACCAATATCGTGATTTTGGAATTACAAATCGGCAACAACATCAGTAAAAAAACGCCTCAAACAAATAGAATTAAATTGAAACTGTAAAAAAGCGATCAAAGTACATTGATCGAATGGCAAACTAGTACAGCGCCCACAAATTGCTGGAAAATAAATAACAACGTGATCCGAAATGAAGTGAATAAAATTCGCTATAAATAACATGAACTGATGAATTTTAAATGTGGATCAAATGAAGCATGTCCTCTTCTTTCCTCCATGCAAAACCCATAATTTATCGATAAGTTCGATCGAAAATTTCGATCCGTATATTGGTTTTTGTTTTGGCCTTTTTGACATAAATATAAATTCGCTATTGTATGAATGTAGTATATATCGAATGCGATAAAAAAAACTTAAACGCAAAAGATGAAACAAACGCATTTTCTATGGAAAACTTATTTTCCCAAAATGCCCAGCGAGACACGGAATCGAATGGTCGGTTGGTCGTTTGGGAACTGTTGTTTTTTGGCTCGAATCAATAATTCACACATTTTGCGAAACATTGAAATATACACGCGCACACACGCCAGCCAGAATTTATTAAATTTATTCGTTGTGTTTTTTGCTCGACGCATTTTTTCTCTCGTCCCTCATCCACTCACGTGTGCGTGCATATGCGACCAGGGACGACATGGCTAAAAATAACCAACAATGGCCACTCAAAC